CTCTGACATTGTGGGTAGCAATTGTAAGGTGTAAATCATAAGGTTTAGACTGATTAGGAGTGGTTGAAGGCTGTGTGAATGATTGTATAGATGATTTAAGAGGAATATGGGGGTTTGCAAAGATAGCACTTTGATAAGGGACGATTTCATGATTGGGGAGAGGGCAGGGTTCTTCTGGAGTATAAATATGAGCTTCACTATAGTCAGATTTTATAGATATTATTAGTTTATTTTGTAGATTATTCCAGAGGCTGTGTTGAATAAGGTGAAGGAGAAATGAATTAATTGTTTGGGGGAGGGCAAAAGGGGAAGTTTGTGATGATAGAGGAATTTATTAAAGCAAGTTAAAGGGTCACAGGGTATTAAGGATATTGGAAATGACACCTTCGGTTTGTCTTCTACAAAGATGCTCACCATATACCCGGCTCTCACAGTTCCGCAAGAAATAGCAGTGCTCAGGTTATGCGTTAGAGGACTGTGTTTATCTACTTCTTCCGGGTTTATTTTAAATCCTCTATAACTTATATTTATATCTAATATTATAATAAATTTATTATAAGCTTTATTTTTATATTAGGCTTATCTAATTCATTTAAGTATTTCTATAGATTATTCTATAATTTAGAAAAAACTAATTTGATTTTGTGTTTATATTACCTCCCTTTGAACTTCTCTCTTTAGTAATTTATATAGTATTTTATAGTTTGCAATAGTTTAAAAGAAAGCTTATAGTAAAAATAATTATAAAGCTAGTAGTAATCTGCAATATTTTATATAGACAATGATAAATCTAAAATATAAGTACAATTGAGCAAAATTTAGTAAAAAAAGGCTGAAAGACTCCAAATTAGAAAAAATAGTTTAAGAAAAATTTATGAAGTTAGACAAAAAATATTTATATATATAATAAGCTCAACTTACTGTGATTCTTAATTAATATTATTGTTATAGATAATTTATTTTGATAATATTATTAAGGGTATTTTATTATAAACAAAAGCTTTTAAAAAGAAATCTTAAATAAAAATTTTTATAATTATTATATAATAGTTATATAATTATATATAATTTATAGCTTAAAATCAAAGTTAGTAATTGCAATTATTTGAATAATTTAATTATTTAAATAATTAAATTATTTGAATAATTGCAATTATTTAAATAATTAAAATATTTGAATAATTCGATTATTTAAATAATTAAATTATTTAAATAATTGCAATTATCTAAATAATTGTAATTATTTTAATATTGAATTATTCATATAATTAAATTATTTGATTAATTGCAATTATTTAAATTATTCATAATTATTAATCATTTAGTAAATATTCAAATAGCTATATGCTAATCTTTATTATTTGAATTTTATTCAAATAAAAAATCAGTAAGCTCTAGCTAAGAACAATATTTTGAAGTCAGTATTCAATAGAAAAAATAATAATAGTATTGATTAGTGATAGAAAAAATGTGCATTTTATAATAATATATAATATATAAATATATATTATTATGCACTTTATATAAATTACATAATATAAACTTGGGATTTATATTTTCCTTTGATAAATATCAGATATATATTTAAATTTTTACTTCAATCTTGCTTTTCTTTTATATTTATTCTTTTTTTTTGGAATTTTTCAAGGTTTTTGCATTTATATTTTTTAATTCTACCTAAAAACATGCTCACTAGTCTAAATTATATATATATCAATTTTCTGATATAAAATTTAGATGAGATAAAATATGCATAATTTTGAAACATGCATATGAATACACATTAATATGCATATTTAAGGAATCATATGCATATATGAAATCCATTTCTAGTATTAATAATATAATAAGCTTAAGTATTAGTAATATATTTGGTATTGGTAATTTGAATAAAATATAAGAATTTAGAAATTATAAGTTGTAATTGTTTGGATTGTTTGTTGTTTAGAGTAAACCAATAGCCAAGAAATTTAAAGAGTTGATAAGAAGAGCAAATAGATAAACTCTAATTATTGAAGAAGTTGGAACATGGTTGCTTGATTTAGAGTTAGTAGAAAGAATAAATTTAGATAAATTAACTTGAATATTTGCTATTGAGTAGAACATAGAGATAATATTAGATAGCTCAGTTTGGGTGGATGCAATACAAAGAATATTATCTATATAAGCTAAAACAAAGCAGTTGGCTTCAATATAATTGGTAATAAAGTGTTTAAAATTGGTGAGCCAAAAGGCTTTAGTAATATAACCAGGATATAATGTGTGTACATAAGAAAACTACGGATTGATGAGTTGATGGTAAAATTGTATTTAGAGATAATAATGTCATTAATATTATAACATTTAGTTAATATTTTATTTTTCCATACCCATAATATACGGAAAAAATTATAACAATTCAAGCTTGCCTATAAACTCTATAGACTCTGTTAAACCCAATACTAGATTTATACACAACTATAACCTGGTGAGTAACCGGTATAACTGGAATTAAAATATTTAATCTCTCTAAAAGGCACCCGACCTTTTTTCATTATTCTCACACATGTTCACCTCCCGAATCCACAAAGTTAAACAGATAATTGGACAACATTTAACACATAAATGGGCTGTGGTTTATCGAACCAATCTTCATATTTAGAATAGTTAAAAATTCATAAAATTCTTAAGAAACCAAAATTTCAAAAAACTATACAGCAGTAGTTGAGCGAAATCAGGGACTTTAATAATTCATAAATGAGTGTTAAGTTTAACTTCAGAAAATTTGTAATTTTGCAAAATTGAAGTTTGTTTCTAATTAGCTTTTAAAATAAAAGTATAATATGGTGAATACATTTTAATTTCAAATCTATTTGAAATACAACTTTAGAAGAATACGATTTATCTTCCATCTTCTGCTATTATTGCTCATGCGTAATGAAACTTCTAATCCTTTCTTTTTCCTGTGTATGGGTTTGAGCAACCTGGGTCGCCACTCTATTGTACACAAAGTTTAACAATTGGAGGCTTATAATTCATTATCAGTTTCTCTTAATATAGATATTTATTAGATACATGTAAACCCAAATACTTGTATGGTATCGTTGTTTTTTTTTTTTTTTTTACATATTCATTTAATCATTTTATATTGTGGTTGATAAACAAAAAAAAAAAAAAAAAAAAGAGGTCTACAGTGAAAAAGTCAAATACGTATGCACACCTATTCAAGAATTTTATCTATACACAAATTAACACCCGCTTGTTGCTAAATAATCAAATGCAAACTACCAACATTTCTTCGGATGTAAATCTCTGATTTGCTTTAAGCTCTACATAATTCTAACCTTTGATCGTTATGAACAAAATATTTAATTTAATACTAATAAGCAAGCATTTCTTTAGAAAATATTGTAACCTCAATAACACTACAATTCATAGCTAAACAATTTTTCCAAGCGATTTCAGAAGAAACAATTTTTATTTTGTTCATCACGACTAAACCTACAAAGTGTATAGCATTTCTTGATTCAGTAGCACCTTTAATTCTAACAACATCACGAAGAAGATCGAAATTTTGCGTATGAGCAAGTACGACACAATCATCAGGTACCAAATATTTTTCACCAAATTGTTGAGTAGCAAATATTTTAAAATCTTTCAAAGTTATATCTAAAGGAATAATTAATACAGTTGAAAAATCCGAAATCCAGTAATAATTTATTTTGAAAGCTCTTGAATTATTTTCAATACAATAATCTTGAATCGTTTGATCGATTAAATCTACTAAATTATTCATTGTTGTTTTTGTTGGATTTTCTTCACATGACTTTTTTAATGTTTTCATTTCATAATTATCGATTTCTTTATCATTATTATCTTTGATATTTTTTGAGGTACCATTTTTTTCTTTTTTGGACCAATTAGAAAGTGATAAAATTTCAAAAATTGTCGAAAATTGGTCGGTAATTGGTGACATCATATAAAGTATCAAGATATTTTTTTGAGAAAAAAAGTGGATGCGTGTTGTTAATCAAAATTTGTAAAGAGCAAATGTGAAGAAAGGTTTATCTTTTTTTGTGGTCAAAAGAAAAAGAAAAAACAAGCGTATTTACATTAATAAGTTGTATTTAAATACATCATACTATCACAATCTCACGATGATAAATACTGTATTTCAAATTAACTCCAAAGCGGACAAAGAAATGGGCTAGTAACTCAAATTATCCTTTTATTTACATATTAATAATTTACAGAGAGGTTTAAAGTTGTGCATTGTAATCATGATTCAAGATATAACTGTATAATACTGTAGTAACCCACGTGTTCTCATAAGATTGGATAAGTAATCTCGGTATATTCAAAGTCAGCAAATTCATGGAAACTCCATGGAGTATACAAATAATATACAAATAATCAAGTAACGTTTAAAGAAAACATCACAATAATAGAGATTAAAATGGCCGATAACTATGGTAATAGTCTTATCGATTTCAATTTAGAAAACTTTTTAATGATTATAAAATTATAAAGTTTTGATGAAGTCAACTTTAAAATCGGAATATAAAATTTTAAAATAAAGTATTTCGGATGTTGAATATTTTTTATGCTAACAAATAAAAGAAAATTTGCTTTTATCTTATTGATCTTTATCTTTATTTTTATACTTACCTTTCCATAGTAACATTGAACTAGCACCACCATTTAACTGCACAAAAAAAAAAAAAAACATTTAAATCGATGAATAAAGAAAAAAAAAACAAATATCAAAATAAAAGTTACCTTATAAAGAAGATCTTGTACAAACTGAGGCAAGAACCTTAACAACGCCAAACCATTAACATAATATGGCATAAGGATATCCTGTCCCTGATTTTTATCCAGAGCAGTGATTATAGGTTTTACTATTTCAAGTGCAGCCATCGAAGGTGTTAAAAATGGGAATCTAACAGTTGTGCCATCAAACATTCCAGTTTTGATTTTTCCAGGGCAGACTAATGTTGTACGAACATTTTTTGCATTATATCTGATTGATTAAATGATAATTTTATATACGTAAATCAAATGATCGTATATTTAATGATGTATATTTTTAATAAATTATCTATAATAAATACAGTATTACCGACTGTCCAATTCACGACGTAATGTTTCATGAAAACCGATCAATGCTGCCTTGCTTGCACAATAATCCGCTATAAAAAAATGTGATTATAGAAAAAAAACGAATTACGATATATAATATGAAATTATGATATGAAAAAATTATGATATGAAATTATGATATGAAATTATAATATGAAATTATAATATGAAATTATAATTGAATATGTAAATACCTAATTGGGGCATTCCAATAAATCCAAGAGCAGACGCTATTGTTACCTTTATATAAGAAGAAAGGTAAATAATTAATATATTAAAATTATAGATTATAGCGTGATTTAATTAAAATTATGATGAATGATGAAAATTTACTATATGCCCATGATTTTTCTTGATCATCTCAGGCAAAAAAACCTTAGTGGTCCAAAAAGATGCTAATAAATTAACGTTGAGAGTGCTTGATAAATAATAAAAATAAATTATTAATAATGATAACAAATTAATAATATTGCACATCAAATATAATTCAAACAAGATGTTACTCTATTATTTCTTTTTCAGATGACTCTAAAATAGTTTTTCCTTGAACAATTCCAGCGTTATTGATTAGAATAGTAGGATGGCCAGCCTAAATATATTAAGTTATTTAATTAATTGATTATTGTCTATGAATAATTAAAAAGAGAAAAAAGATATTAATTTAGGGTTGTTAAGTTGATTGTTAGATTATGAATCGGTATAGAGACGGAAGCAGTTATGAATTCAAAAATTAGTTTAGATCATAACCAAAATTTTTGTAAAATAGAAATATCAATGTTATAAGATTGACAAAGGAGCGTATTTTCGGACGGACAATTTTAGGACTATTCTGAAAAATGGTCACTTTGTATTAATCACATCCGAAAACCATTACGCCAATAATGTCGTGGCTTGTTTATATTATTATTCGAAATATTAAAATTTTCAAGCTTTTTAGGACAGTCTGAAAATCAACTTTACAATTTTAAACCAAATTAACATTATGTATTAAGAATGGATTAAATTTGAATGACCTCTAAATCAATCTTTAAAAATTCACCCAAAGATTGACAAAACAATAGATACCTCCTCTATAATCTCTTTAGCAACCTTTTGAACTTCTTCAAATTTCGACACATCACATTCATAATAAATAATATTATCTAGACAATGTTTTATAAGCATATGAAGTTAAAATTTAGCATGTTAAAATTTGTCATAAAAATAAATAAATTATTCAATATAAATCGAAAATACCATGTTCAATTTGTGGAGGTCTAATATCTAATATAATAACAGTCACATTTCTAGCAAGCGTTTCGGCTAGTAAACTCCCAAGTCCTCCCGAACCTATACGTTCATCAACAAGAGATTGATCAATTGAAACGGAATAATTTCAGATAAAAAAAAATAAAAATTAAATATGATATTGACCTCCAGTTATAACAACAACTTCATCATCCCAATTAGTAATGCATGTTTTCCACCCATTTCTACTTTTTATACTCAAATAACCTAGAAGCCAAAAAAAGCATACTACTAAAGTATATAGACTAGTCCACAAAAATTCTGGTTGACTTATACCATAGCCTTGAAAATATACAAAAGAAAGAAAAAGTATTGCAAATGAAGGATGAAATAGGGATAAGTTTAGAATACGAATAAAAAAATCTATCGAATACATCATTTTTTTTTTTTTTTTTTTTTTAGAGTGATCATTGAAATTATTACTTTATATAATTTAATTAGTGTTTGACAAAATGATTAATTTAGATCCTGACTATTACATGCATCAAAAAATGATCGTTACTAACGATCAAAGGTTAAAAGAAATTGCCTAATATAGAAATATAGTTGTGAGTGAAACTGTGAAACTATATGTTGAAACTAAATATATATAACTAATTATTAAAATAATTATATAATTAGATAACTATATAGGAATATAGATTTTTTTGGTGTTGAAGACTAGTGAAACTTGGCAATTAATTTCAGTTTCACTTGTAGCTTTAGCGTGTATTAAATACCTAATTCAGTATTCAAAAGGTACATTTGATCTTTAAATAAAAAAAGGGCACTGTTAAAGATTTTTTAATTATTCTGATTTTATAAAAAATGCATAGACTTTAAGAAACTTCCAAACATATATATAATTCATGAAATTCCGGCTGGAATTAGGATTTGAAACTGGTTGAAAAAATGATCTGTCAAAAAGTCAGTTAAACACCCGGTTTTTTTTATAAATGCAAATGATTTCCATTCATAATTTTTATAACATTTGATATGTTATGTACTTGTTATCTATCAAGGGTAATAACTGATTATTCACTAAGTGTTATGACATTTTCGAAGGTTATGTCATACCTCATACTATATCGTTATGATGATTTAAAGTTAATTCTAAATTGAATGCTAAAATAATTTTCTGCGGATTACTTAGTATAATTCTATGTGGTCTTTTTTTTTTAATTCGGTTCACTAGAATTAAAAAAAAAAAAAATTTAATCTTCATATTTTTACGCAATTCTAATTCCGCGTTCAGCACAAATTGTTACAGCTCAAGCGAACTCTTTGAACTCTTAGTGTATCAAATGTTAGACAAGCTTATTTTATTAATATATTTATGCTGCTAATAATAAAATTCGTCCATAATCTTTTTCTTTAACGATCGTTCGGGTGATTATCAGTTATGTATACATTATTGGGAAAAAATTGTCGAATACGTAACGGTAATTTGGCAAATGAGCACGTGCCGCAAAGCGGCACGTGTAGCCAATCATTTGTCAAATTACCGTATTCGACAATTTGCCCAATATTGGTGTTATCCGGCAATTTA